GAGACTGGATTTCACCATGTTAGGCTGGTCTTGAGCTCCTGACCTCATATTCTGCCCGCCTTGGCCTCCCAAAGTGCTGGGATTACAGGCATGAGCCAAAGTGCCCAGGCTGTAGTTTTCATCTTAAAAGAGGTTTCTGCCCCAAACACATGCTTTTTATTTCCTCCTAGAAAAAAGACAATGTAGAGTCTCTGGGGTTCCAAATCCACAGAGAGTCATGGCTGTCTCTAGCCACTCATGCCCTTCAACCCCAAATGGAATTTCCCCTTTTCTGCCTTTACTGGGTACCCCTACTCCCACCTGATTGTCAAGAATGGAGTCTGAAGAGGGTGAGGCTAGGCCTGCTGACCCCATCCCAAGGTACTCACAGGCTGTCTGGCCTCAGGTCATGAAACTGCACAAAGACTGGACAGGGTAGGTGCTATTTGTCCTCTCCAAAGCTCAAGTTGAAATCTGACACCCACTGTTGGAGGTGTGGCTGATGGGAGGTGTTTGGTTGATGGAGTTGTATCCCTCATAAGTGTATTGGTGCCAGTTCTCCGTGAGTTCTTGCCCTAATATTTCTTGCCAGAGCTCCCCAAAGGAGAGCTGATTGTTAAAAAGAGCCTGGCATCTCTCCCTTTCTCTCTTGCTTCCTTGATCTCTGCACACACTGGCTCCCTTCCCCTTCTGTCATGAGTGGAAGCAGCCTGAGGCCCTCACCAGAAGTAGATCCCGGCACCATGCTGCCTGTACAGCCATGAGCCAAATAAACCTCTTTTTTTCTTTCTCTCATCACTGCTTCAGTCAAGGGAAACCTCTTTTTGCTATAAATTACCCAGCCTCAGGTATTCCTTTATAGCAACCTGAATGGACTATAACAGTGGGGTACAGATTTCTAGTCCAGAGACCTGGGGTAGCATCCCTGGTGTAGCTATTGCCTATTTGTGAAGTCACTGTAAATCTCTTATTTTCATTGACGTCCTTAGCCATAAAGCAGAACAATAACTGTTTCCTAAGACTTTTCAGTTCGTTCCTCCAACAGATACGTATTGAGCACCTACTATGTGCCAGGCACGATTCTAGGGGCTGGGAGCATAAGAGGGAGGAGGACAGAGAGGGCTTCAGTTCTTCTGCTCACAGGGCTTTAGTAATGAGTAGACAATAGCCAGGTAAACAACAGGGGAATTACAGTTGTGGTGGGTGCCGTGAGGAGACAACCATGATGACAAAATATAGGGTCAGGAGTTCGAGCTGGGAGGCAGCTCACTTAAACTAGGAGGTCAGAGGGTCTCTCTCTGAGGTGGCAGATCTGTGCTCTGGGGGCAGCGCATTCAGGCTGAGGGAAGTGCAAAGTCTCTGAGGCAGAAAGGACTTGGCAGGCTCGGTGGGCGGCCAGTGGGAATGAGAGAAAGAGAACAGAGTGCTGAGTAAGACCACGCCAGGAGGGGGGTGAGCCCGATCCAACATAGGTCACATGGAGTCAGCTTAGGAACTACAGGGTGGAAATGGGGGCTCCTGCCCTCAAACCTGTCCCCCTGTCCCTGCTGCTGGCTCAGGAGGAAGTTGTAAGTGTTAACAGAGCTCTTGGGACGGCCAGGCTGCCCTGGGACCACAGGAACTTTGCCACCTGCACCCAGGCAAGCTCAGATGCTTGGTCTGATGTGGCTCCTAGAAAGGGAACAGCTCAGCCCCCTGGGAAAGGGCGGTGGCTCTCACCTGAACCCCACAGGAGGAGATCCCTGCAGCCCCAACGCCCACTTGAGCAGCCTCATTTCTACCCTCTCAATTAATTACACACAGAGACAAAGGGTGACCTCTAATGAGGGATGACCTGCCGAGAGCTGCCCATGGGCCTCTGCTTCAGAAACCCAACGTGAGCAAAGCCAAAGCAAGGTGAGGCAAAGCGGCATGAGAACTGGGAGAACTGCAGGGTGAGGGCCAGCATGGCCACCCATGCACCAAGAGGTGTGGGAAAAGGTGAGGCAAAGCGGCATGGGAACTGGGAGAACTGCAGGGTGAGGGCCAGCATGGCCACCCATGCACCAAGAGGTGTGGGAAAAGGTGAGGCAAAGCGGCATGGGAACTGGGAGAACTGCAGGGTGAGGGCCAGCATGGCCACCCATGCACCAAGAGGTATGGGAAAAGGTGAGGCAAAGTGGCATGGGAACTGGGAGAACTGCAGGGTGAGGGCCAGCATGGCCACCCATGCACCAAGAGGTGCGGGAAAAGGTGAGGCAAAGCGGCATGGGAACTGGGAGAACTGCAGGGTGAGGGCCAGCAGGGTGACCTGTGCACCAAGAAGTGCAGGAAAAGGTGAGGCAAAGCGGCATGGGAACTGGGAGAACTGCAGGGTGAGGGCCAGCAGGGTGACCTGTGCACCAAGAAGTGCAGGAAAAGGTGAGGCAAAGTGGCATGGGAACTGGGAGAACTGCAGGGTGAGGGCCAGCATGGCGACCTGTGCACCAAGAGGTGCGGGAAACAACCTGGAGTCCAGGTGCTGCCTCCAACAAGCCGGGAGACCAGGAGAGCAGAAACTCTCTGAGCCTCAGTTTCCCTTTCTAGGTTTTTCAAGATCTCCTTGGAATCTCACACCAAGACTCTAAGATATATATTTCGACATCTGTACCCCATTTCTCCTCTGGGAAACAAGCCCTCCCCCACTCTGAGGCTCTGCATAGAGGGCACCAACCCCAGTTCTGAGCAGGTCATCTAGGCTCGCCCACACTAACCCCAGCATCCATCATCCTGGACCCAGGGATTGGTTCTTCAATAGGCACAGGGCCTGGTAGGAGCCAATAGAACACGAGTCTATTTGTGGAAAAACTGAAAATGAGGTTCTTCCCAATGGATTTGAGGATCTAGAGCTGGAGATGCTGCAGCCTCCTAGAGATGCGAGGAACAGGGGCTATCGCATATTAGCAAGCAATGACATGACCGTGATGGTTCATCCCAGGAGGATCTCACCATCCTGCCTCTGTGCATCGCGGTGCATGGGTTTGTGGGGTGGTCTGCTCTCATACCCAGCCTACCTTCTTTCTCAGCCTCCTGCTCTGGATCTCTGTGGCTCCCAGCCTGGTATCCCCTTCCCAGGTCACTCTCTTCATTACCATTCTCTGAAGCCACTTTTTCTCCCATGGTAGGCAGGAACACCAGATCCCTTCCATGCTCATGAGCAGAGCTTCCAGATCAAAAGCCAGCCCTGTATCCGGCCAGTCTGGGTGCCCTAACACACACTCGGTAGGAGCAGGTGTTTGCAATCCATGCTGTCTGGGAAGGTCTGGGAAATACTTTGTCTACAAAGGGAGTGGGGCCCTGATAAAACACAAAAGGCTGAGCATGGTCCTGGCCCCTAGGTGAGGAGGATGGTTCTGCACTTTGAAGGGCCAGCCAGCACAGGCCCAGATAGATGCCAGCCTCCCAGATTACCATTGCCCCATCTCTTGAAGGCAAGAGAGGCAGGCCAGAGAAGAGATGTGAGGTGAGGTGCAGTGGGACCTGGAGGGGTCTTTTATGGTTAGTTCCCCCTCCCTGATCCTAGGGTGCTGTAGCCTGAGGAGGGTACTCTGACCTAAGGATGACCAGGCCCTCTCCTCTGCAACTCCAACCACTCTGCTGGGATTTCCACAGCCCTGAATGTCCTCCACAAGCTTGGCCTTGATCTCTCCCAAGTTTTTTAATGAAATGAGGTGATAGCGAGTGACTAGGTGACTATTGCAGCCGGGGTGGTCAGGGAATCTGAAGGAAAAAAAGTGGGCCTTAGGAAAGTCAAGGGAATAACATTCCAGATAAAGGAATGGACTAGTGCAAAGGCCCTGGGGTGGGAAGATGCTTGGCCTGTTGGAGAAACAGACCTCAAGTAACAATGTCTTGCATTTATCGAGCGCTTGTGATGTGCCAGGCAATGTTCTAACCCCTTTCCGTCTCATTTCATTTTCATAATAACCCTACAGAGTAGAGGCTTTATCATCCCCATTTCGTAGATGGCAAGAATGAGACACAGCAAGGTTGTCCAAGGCCACATAACTGATAAATGGCAGAGCTGAGATTCAGAGGCTGTGCTCTTGACCACAGTGTAGGGCAGCCCAAGACAAGAGCAGCCCTGGAGAAGTAGATCTGGGAGCCTTCAGCATAGATGGTACTGTAAGTGCCAGGACTGGACCACGTGGTTCAGGTTGATGCACAGAGAGAGGAGGGAGAGGAGAGAGCTGCAGTCTGAACCCTAGGCATCCCAGCATTCAGACAGGGAGCAGAGCCTGCGAAGGAGCAGCCAAGGAGGGGGAGGGCAACCACAGCGGGGGTCGTCATGGAAACCAAGGAGAAGGCCATTTCCGGAAGAAGAGAAGGTCAGTGTCACCTGTGTCAAATGCTGCAGAGAATTAGCTGGGCGTGGTAGCACATGCCTGTGGTCCCAGCTATCTGGGAGGCTGAGGTGGGAGGATCACTTGAGCCCAGGAGTTCAAGGCTGCAGTGAACCGAGATTGCACCACTGCACTCCAGCCTGCAAGACACAGTAAGACCGTGTCTCAAACAACAATAACAACAAATGCTGCAGGGAGGCAAAATAAGGTGGAAACGGAAGTGATCATTGGACTTGGCACCAAGGGGGTCACTAGTGACCTAGAGGAGAATAGTTTCCGTGGAATGGCAGGGTCAGAAACACTACCGGAATGGGCTGACAGAAGAATATGGGAGAAGCACATGGAGACAGCAATTGCAGCTGGCTCTGAGACGGAGAGAAAGGAACACTTCCCGACTAGGAGTCCAGAGACTTCCCCATGCACTAGCTCTGCAGTCTGAGTCTCAGCTTCCTCATCTGTAAAATGGGTCTAACGATCACACCTACTTGACTGGACTACAATGAGGAATCAAGTGAATGCTAAGAAAATGCTTTGTTAGTCGCAAATCCCTGCAAAGACACAAGATATTTCAGGGTTCTCGAATGACTTCCTTCATGTAGGAGTCACAATTCGCTCCTGTCCCTCTTCTCTGCTTTAACCATCTGTCTCTCCAATCTGAAATCTGTTCCATCTGAGCCCTAGCTGACCAGAGCCTTCCCTCTCCCTCTGTCCTGCCACGGCCTCCCCCTCCCAACCCTGGCTTGGCTCTGGGGGTGCTCAGTGGAATATGCAAATGTCTCCCTAACCAGCTGGTGTCTGCCTCCCAGAAACACATGTTCTTAAGCCTCTCTGCCTCACCAGGGAGGGGGGACCAGAGCCTCTGTCCATGCCACAGCCCGGAGAGGACATATTACCGAGCAAGGAACAGCACAGCAAGCAGATGGAGAAGGACTGCTAGCCACGGGGGAGGAAGGCAGGAGAGGAGCAGGTGAGCGGGTGCGGGCAGGGCGGGTGTGCATGAAGGGCTGGAGCGTCAGGCAGCGCCTGCGCACCACAGGGCACACTGTCCACCGGGATGCGGTCATCTCTGCTGGCCCATCTTTGGGGCTTCTTGGTACAATTTTGAGACTCCCTCCCTCCAAAGTCTATTAGGTTTGCAAAATTAGCCCTATATCAAAAAAATATTTATATTATAAAATACTTAAGATCTATAACAAGGTGTCTAGAATAGCATGAAGGACTCACGCATTCACTGTTTAGCTTACAGTTCTCCCCCCAAATTCAGGTAAAGGACCTTGCATGCTCCTCTCCAGGTCAGTCCCCTCCCCTCCACCCAGGGGAACCACTACCCCGAATTCAGTGGTCATCATCCCTGTATATTTCTTTTCTTTTCTTTGTTTTTCCTTTTTTGAGATGGAGTCTTGCTCTGTCTCCCAGGCTAGAGTGCAGTGGCGTGATCTCAGCTCACTGCAATCTCTGCCTCCTGGGTTCAAGTGATTCTCCTGCCTTAGCCTTCTGAGTAGCTGGGATTACAAGCACCTGCCACCATGCCTGGCTAATTTTTGTATTTTAGTAGAGATGGGGTTTTACCATGTTGGCCAAACTGGTCTCAAACTCCTAACCTCAAGTGATCTGCCTGCCTCAGCCTCCTAAAGTGCTGGGATTATAGGCATGAGCCACTGCACCCAGCCCATTCCCGAATGTTTCTTTAGACTTTTACCATATAGGAATGTATCCTAAAGAGTACACATAATTGTCTGGCATGTTTCACGTTTCTGTATAAACTGCCACCGCATGGCTTACCTTCTTTTGCAACTTGCTTTCTTAGCTCCCTGTTGTATTTATGGGATTCAAGCATGTTGACAGTTCACTCATTTTCACTGCCATGTTGCCCTTATTTTTCATAGAACCTCTTTCCCCAGACAGAGAGCACTTAGCCTGTAGCCTTGACCTTCTCATCCCCCGCCCCCACCCTCAGCCCAGACACAGATTCCAGAGGAAATTTGGCACAAAATCTCAGGCTAACACTCATGGCCTTGTACATTTTTTTTTTTTTTTTGCAGCTGATGGTCACATGAAGGCCCTTGGGATCTCTGTGTGGGGAGTCCAGTAGAAATCTCTGCTTCTGGCTGGGCGCAGTGGCTCACGCCTGTAATCCTAACACTTTAGGAGGCCGAAGCAGGCAGATCATGAGATCATGAGGTCAAGAGATGGAGACCATCCTGGCCAACATGGTGAAATACCATCTCTACTAAAAATACAAAAATTAGCTGGGCATGGTGGCGTGCCCCTGTAGTCCCAGCTACTCGGGAGGCTGAGGCAGGAAAATTGCTTGAACCCGGGAGGCAGAGGTTGCAGTGAGCCGAGACCACACCACTGCACTCCAGCATGGTGCTTGGCGGCAGAGCGAGACTCTGTCTTAAAAAAAAAAAAAAAAGAAATCTCTGCTTCTACTCAGTAGGCCTGGAATCATAAGCTGGCTAGAATAGGACTTTTAATAACAGTAATCATCAAGTTGGGCTCAGAGGCTCACATCTGTAATCCCAGCACTTTGGGAGGCCAAGGTGGGCAGATCATGAGGTCAAGAGATAGAGACCATCCTGGACAAAATGGTAAAACCCTGGCTCAACTAAAAATAAAAAAATTAGCCAGGCATGGTGGTGCACGCTGTGTCCCCGCTACTTGGGAGGCTGAGGTGAAGAATCACTTGAACCGGGAGGCAGAGGTTGCAGTGAGCCGAGATTGCACCACTGCACTCCAGCCTGGCGTCAGAGTGAGACTCCTTCTCAAAAAATAAAAAAGTAAAAATAATAGTCATCACCATCACCCTCACCATCACCATCACGATCATCATCACTCATACAGCACATGCTGTGCGCCAGCTGCCACTCCAAGAACTTCACGTGCATTGACCCATTTCATGCTCACACAATCCCATGGGGTAGATGCTATTATTTTCTTCATTTTCCAAGTGAGGAAACTGAGGCACAGAATGTTGAAGTGATTCACTCAAGTCAGCAATTACACAGAGCCAGGACGTGAACCTGCTTTCACCAAAACAGTGTAACCCCAGGCCACACCCTCGAATTTCCCCAGTGTCCCCCTTCAATCACCCTGGTAGGGGTCACCTCTGAGCCCTGGTGTTGGTGACTCCTGCAGGCTGCCGGCTTGCTAGCCTGATGCCACAGGAGCCTCTTAAGAGCCTCCGGAATGGACCACAACAGAGCAAAGACAAGAGGTACAAAGTCTTTCATCCCAGCCCCGGGACAGGCTGTCGTGAGCCTGGCTTCCTGAGAGCGGTGCAGGTGGGGGCGGAGGCTGATGGGGGTTGGGTGGGGACCTGAGGGCAGCCTTGGAATGGGGCTGTTTAGATACAATGGGTTTGACTGCTTTTTGGAGAAATAGGTGGATAGATGGGGGGGAATTGAAATTTTTAGACTGGATGGTGCCTGAGATCTCTTCCATCTCTCAATTCATGTGACCCTACAGCAGATGTTGGGAAACGCTTTCTGTGAAAGACCAGAAAATGCATATTTAGGTACTGAGGATTCTACCATCTCTGTCATGACTGCTCAACTCTGCTGTTGTACTACGAAAGCCCTTGGGCCAAAGGTAAACCAGTGGGTGAGGCTCTGTGCCAATAGAGCCTGTTATGAACAAAGAAATGTGAATGTCATGTAATTTCACTTGTCATGAAATATTATTTTGCTTTTGACTTTTTTTCCCCAATCATTTAAAAATGTGAGCCTTTCTTAGCTCACAGGCCACGTGAACATGGGCAGTGGGCCAGATTTGGCCCATGGGCTATAGTTTGTCAGCCCCTGTTCCAGAAGGAAAGGCCTGGATGGAGAGTCTGGAAGCCCTGGGTTACAGCTCTGCCATTTTTAAACCATGTATTTGTGAGCAAGAACTGAACCTCTCTGAACCCCGTTTTCTCCTCTGTACAGTGGAGACACCATCCTCTACTTCCCCTTCCTTCCACCCCAGCATGGAGGAGCTAAAATGTAAAGATTCAAGAGTCTATCTCCATCAGCTCTTGGCAGCCAGCAGGGGCAGTTCTCAGGAATGTTAGCAGGCCCTTGACTCCCCCCTCTCCAACAAAGCCCTTGCAAACTGAGAAGTCCAGGACTCTGTTTATCCCATTTTCATCCTTTGCTGAGGTGCTCCCTCCTCTGTCCCCAGCCCAGGGTTACCTCTGCTCCCCAGAGTCCATCCACTGATGGTCTAAGCCATCCACCTACAAGAGCCCAGGAGCAGTGTAGTCACCAGCCACAGGGGATCCTGTGCCCACAGGCCTTGCCCTGAAAGGGGTGTGTGCCCCATACCAAGGCCTTAGGCAAGGAGGAAGTCACACTGCGCACATCAGACATTCAGACCTTGATCCGCTCTTCATTCATGCCCCCTTTCTATAGTTCTTTGTTCAGAAATATTGCTGACTGGATGGTTCCCAGATTCCAGGTTGCTGCTTGTCAGGATTCTGGCTTCTGCAGGGACTGAAAGCCCCCTGTGTCACCAAGGCAGGACACTTTTTCTAATCAATGGTGAAAGGGGAAGAGGCTTAAGAATGGAAGGAAGGGATGGAAGTTGGGCATCACAGGGCTGTGAGCACCCCCATGACCAGGGCCTGGTGGTGGGCAGCCCTGGGCCTTGGAGAAAGAGTCACAGGTAAAGACTAGCATGTGAGTTCCCTTCCTGGGGTCATCTCAGCTCTGGCCCCACCAGGAAGGGAAGCAGCTAGGGCTCCACCCTTTGGTGCATTTCAAGCACATGTTATGCATGTTTGAGCAAGAGAGGGAAGGGGCCTGCAGGGCAAGTGGCACCCCAGGCCAGCATCTCCCTGCATCTCATCCTCTGTACTAGTTTGCTAGGGCTGCCCTCACAAAGCGCCACAGATGGGTCCCTTAAGTAACAGAAATGTATTTTCTCACAGTTCTGGAGACTAGAGGTCCAAGATCAAGGTGTTGACAGGGCTGTTTCTCCTGAGGGCTCTCTTGGCTTGCAGATGGCCCCCTTCTTGCCGTGTCCTCACACGGTCTTTCCTCTGCGTACACGCACCCCTCGTGTCTCTTTGGGTATGTGAATTCCCTCTACTTATAAGGACATCAGTCACATTGGATGAGGGCCCATCTCCATGACCTCTCCCTCTGTAATTTTAACTTAATTACCTCTGTAAAGGCCCTGTCTCCAAATATAGTCACAATCTGGGGTATGCGGGATTAGAGGGTCAACAATATGAATTATGGGGGGGCCTGTAACACCATCTCTCCACCTCCAAGACAGCCCCCCACTCAATGATGAGGTGTCGGCAGGGGAAAGCCACTGAGATCTCAGTTCTGTGGGGTCTTGCAGACAGAAAGGGGCAACATCATAAAGGGAGGGCTGGGAATGTTTTGGGGGGCTGAGAGAGTGTGGTTCTAGGTGTGCTGAGTGTAGGGGGGTGGCAGGAGAGTGAGGGTGTGTTTGTGTAAAAGTGGCACACTCCTTAAGGACCCAAACATGAGTGCTTATGATTCAGGGGAATAGCAGGCGACAGGGCTCCCACGGAGCACCTGTGAACACATGCATACCCACAGCCTGGGAGCTGCAGCGACACCCTGCTCGACAGCCCCCTCCGCCCTAGCTCTGTGGCTGGCATTACTAAGCAGTGGCAGTATTCCAAGCTCTTGATCCAAAGAGTCTCTCTGCAGCGGGTCTGCAATCATGGCATCTATCTCCTGGGCTCCCACCGCCTCACTCCAGCCACCCTCAGCTCCCATGGGGTATGTGCATGGAGGTGAGCGGAAGGTGTGCAGAGCAGTGGGGGGTGAGGGCCCAGCATGAAGGTTTCTCACGTCACCTTCCACTCAGCTAGCAACTTGGCCCACCCAAACCCATATCCCCTCTCCTGCCTCTGCCATGTGGAGAGAACTTTCTCCAACTTGTGTGCTTCCCCCTCTACCCGCCCATGCCCGCCCTGGGATGTTCCTTATTCCCTCCCTGGCAGACCCAGGGAGGGTACGGGCAGGCTGGGAGCTGGCTCACATGCCGCCTTTCCCTTTATGCGTACCTCCTGGTATGATTATTAAACGCAAATTACAAAAGACGTGACCCCACCGATCTTTATTTCTTCTTTCAACAAGTGTTGCCTGCAGGGCCCTGATTCCAAATTCCGTTTCAATTATCTCGGCCATTTTAGACACAAAGTGGCTGGTGTTTGTAATTACCAGCGAGGAAGAAGGCAGAGAGAGGAAGTCCAGCAGCCCCAGCTCAGGCTGCTTTCCTCTCTGGTCTGAACTTTCATTGGCAGTGATTAAAGGCCCCCAAAGCAAAAGATGAGACCCTCAAACATGCCCATTACCATGCTCATCCCACAGATGCCCATGGGGACGAGGTTATAGACTTGCAAACCCTGGGCTCTACATTCCCCAAAACACAAGTCCCCGGGGCTCCCCTGGTGACAAAATGAGCTAGAAAAGCCCCCTGCCCCTCTGCTTCTCCAAGGTGGGGGTACCCTGGCTGTTCCCACGGAGGCAAAAAAGCAAGAGCATGGACTTCCCCACTTCCGATCACTCTTTCTGGGGAGAAGGAGCTGTGAGTGTCTTCCCCCTTGTCCAGGGGCTGTGGGGGCACAGCAGGAGCAGTTTCATGAAGTAGAGAAGGAAACCAACATCACAAGTATCTGGAGCATGGAGCTGACATCTTGCTTCCCATCGTGCCCAGCCTGCTGCCACCTGCACAGAGTACAGGATGAAAAGCCCAGATTTGGCTGGGCAAGGTGGCTCACTCCTGTAATCCCAGCACTTTGGGAGGCTGAGGTGGTAGATCGCTTGAGTTCAGGAGTTCAAGACCAGCCTGACCAATATGGTAAAACCCCATCTCTACTAAAAATACAAAAATTAGCTGGCACAGTGGCACATGCCTATAGTCTCAGCTACTCTGGATGCTGGGGCAGAAGAATTGCTTGAACCCGGGAGGCAGAGGTTGCAATGAGCTGAGATCACACCACTGCACTCCAGCCTGGGTGAGAGATGCACACTCCATCTCAAAAAAAAAAAAAAAAAAAAAACAGAGAAAAGCCCAGAGCTTAGAGTCTGGGAGCTCTGCTCTACACTCAGCCTGCCACTTACTAGTCAGATGACCTTGGCAAGTTATGTGACCTTGTTAAACCTTCCTCAGGGTTGTCATCTGTGACACAGGAATAGTCATGGTGCCTATACCTCACAGGCTGCCATGAGGATTAAATCACATTTACTGTGGAACCTCAGCACCACGCCTGGCACATAGTGGTGTGCAGGAAATGCTAGCTGCTAGAGTTACGGTCTGATCAATGAAGATGTCCCAGCTGCTCCAGCCAAAGCCACACATGCCCCTTGCCTCCCTCCTAGATGCCAGGACCTTGGGAGAGGCCTTGGGGGCTGGCCAAATGTTAGGTCTAAGTTCCATTGCTGGCCCCCTTACCCCCATGGAGGGGCTGCTGAGCACACCCCCGGCCATGCCGGGCCAACGGGAGGGGCGATTTACAACCTCGCTTTAGCAAGGGCCCGGCAAGCCATTTGTCATGCCGAGCCCGGGCACCTTGTTCTACCTGTGTTGAGTGTGTTTTATTGGTGTTGAGCAGAGTGAGGCCGGAGCGGAGTCGGGGATAGAAAACCCACTCAAGTGAAAAATGAGGAAAGCCAAATGGGATAGAGAAGAGTGAAAGGGGGAGTGCTGGCAGGGAAGGAGGTGAAGGGGCGGATTGTAAAACACAGGACAAATGTGTGCAGCAGCCCTGGGGTTACCAGGGAGAGGGACTGGCGGCCGCTGCACCTGCCAGGCTGTGTCCCTGTGCCCCGCTGAGGGCTCGAGGCGTGTGCAGCCACCCTGGCAGGCAGGTTGCAAAGTGTCCAGGGAGACTAGGGGAGACCCTGTTCCTCCAGGTAGTGGGGTCAAAAGAAAAAGCATTTTAAAAAGAAAAGCAAACCCACTCCTGGCCCTTCTGCTACCCTCATCTTCTTCCCCTTTTTCTTTCTCTCCCCGACTTACTCCGGAGCAAGGAGGCCAGAGGGGATCTGCTATGATTTCACAGCTTCCCTCATCATCCCTCGGTGTAGAAGTTTCAGGTCTACACTCAGAACAAGACTGTAGCGAGGCAGATTTAGAGATCTCCCTATTACGAAGAAGAAAAGAGAGAGAAGGGGGAGAAGCCCAGGAAGAGAGAGAGAGAAAGGGGGAGAGAGAGGCAGATAGAGAGATAGACATTCGGCTTTGTGCCGGCAACAAGCCACTAAAGGTGCATTTTTAATTAAATTTATACAAAATGTGTCAGTTTTATCTCTAGGTTTCAAACCTGACTCTTTTCTTTCAAAGAGAGGTATTGATCTCCATTGCCCTGGAGCTACCTGACTGAATTAAACAGAATAAATAGGAGGAGGCGGCCTGAAAGGGCTCAGAAACAACTGCAGAGAGGCAAAATCTAATGGCTGTGCAGTCATTTGCTGCAATTAAAAAACAAAACCATTTAGAGGGCCCGTTAACACCTTGGAGTCAGAAAACTCTCGCTTAAAAAAAAAAAGGCTCCAAACAGCTCCCAGGCAAAACATTTTAATTGCTATAAATCCTTCCATCTTTGGCTGGCACTTGGGTATCTGTGC